CACACACACACCCCGCCCCGCCCCTTATAGCCCGGACATTTCCATGACGACCACGTCTGGAGGATTTCACTCAAGTCATAACTCCACAGACTGTCTTCATCGCCCACCTCTATAAAGCGATAAAGTCATTAGCTGGAGAAATGAGAAAGTCCAGCCTCCTCAATATTTTACTCTTGTCTTAAATTTGTGATTTTTACACTTACAGAGAACTGGGTTAACCAGGATCTCAGATTACTATTAGTAAAACGACCCTTTTACCTCCGAAAAAAAGACAGAGGATTAACGAAGGGAAATAATTATTATTCATACGAATGCAAAGTGGAAGCAGTTTATTTCTTCCTCGTACAACTGCGAGGGCAGAAGTTCTGGGGTGTCTGAACTGATAAGAATCCCTCTGTAGAACGTTAGATATTTTTGTAGTATTGATTTCTTTGTTTTTGATTTTCTTATTACAAGGATGTAAAAACCTTTTAAGTATTATCCTGTTTTTATATTTTTCATTTTAATAAATTTTCTGCCAAAGAAGGCTGTTGGAGACAATGCATTACACATGTACTGTGGGTGGGTTTTTGGATGCTGCAAGGAGCTCATAATAATATTGTACAACATAACAAAATTTAGATTTGAGTGATGTTTTTACTATGTTTGAACTACAGAAATTCAAAGAGGGATTTGGTTTTCTTTGCCAAAATCCCATTGTTGTGCATAGGTTTTTTTTCTTCTTCTTCCAATTTTCATCTTAGCCATACAATGTACTGCTACAAATCCTGTTCAAGTTGCATGTATCTTTGTATTGGGTAGCACTAGTGCTTCAGTGTTTATTTTCATCTACAGAAACATTAGTTTGACCTTTTTGTTAAAAATAAATGATTGTAAGAAGAAAATCTGCTACCTTTGATAGAATATGGAGCTCCTTCCTGCRTTCCCTTCCATCAACAAACCCTCTTATTTGAATTCATAGTTTTCTACTTCACAAAATGTTGGATTTCCTTCTTTGTTTCTTCTTTACCTTTTAATAATTAAGGTTTCCCAAAGGCTTTGAAATAAGCATTTTAAAAATTTTCAAACTAAGTCTGGCACTTTGGAGAAAATCCAGGACTCAGTGGAGGGATTATGGATCCCCTCTGGCC